AACCGATTCATTGCTTTCAGTTGAAGTTGAAAAAACGAACAAACAAAGCAAAGCAAAGCAAAATCAGCAGGCCGCTTTATTCAAGTTTATGTGGCGATAATTTAGATCAGTATAACCTACTCCTCCCGTGACTCAGCGGTAACATTTCGTGTGGACAAGATAATAAATTTTGCTTTGCAATTAAAAGTGGCCACCTTTGAACGGGCCACAACCTATCTCTCAGAACGAGTTGTTTAATTAGCAAACGAAACAATTCAAGTTCAAGTTCATTTATTCACATTTATTCAATTGCAATTCAACAACAATAAGGAAAAAAAAAGAAGAAATAAAAAACAGAGCTAACTATACACTGAATTAAACGTAACAAAGAAAAAAAGTGTGTAGCAGCCAGAGGAGCCAAGCTTTCGAGTTGGCTACTACCAAAGAGCGGTTACAAGTGGATGGAGGTTATACAGTACTGATTAAAAAACTAGTTATGGAGTTCTGGCTAAATTAATCATATTGAGAAGGAAGGCTATATATGAGTAATAATAACTATTTAAATTAAATGATTAAATAAAGAGAGCTAAATAACAGATTAAAGTTGTTCAAGATGCCTGATTCCCGTACCTTTTCATTTAGATTCTTTTTCGTGCCAATCAATCAGTTTTATATCATCTAACTATAGATTGAATTTAGAGTATGGTCTCGAGAATATTTTTTATTACTTTTTCATTTTTGTGTTGCAGCAATCGCCGTATAAAGTAGAATCGAATGCCAGAAAATTTATCTTAACTGCTGATCTTCTTTTGTTCGCAGGAGTGTCACAGGTTGAGAGAGGTAGGAGATATTTTAGTTACTTTTTACTATTACATTTGTATGTGTAATCAAATGGTGACGAGTGAAATTAGCGATAACTTCACAGGCGAGGGAAATTATTAGGATTTGGACAAAACGCAAGTGAAATTATTCCCTAATTTCACGAGTATACCATTTGATTACCTATTAGTATCATGGGTGACGAATTCGTTCGCAGTCGTGGATTTTTGATATGTTTAACCTGGTTTTATTGATCGAGATTGAGAACTCCACGCTCTTAAAATTGTAGAGCATAAATTTGGCTATGTCCAGAATTTTCAGAATTTGTTGGACAAAATACCTGTTAGAATCCTTCTTGATGTGCTCTTTCATGTGTTTAGGTTTTCTAAAGCGTCTTTTAATGCCCTGACATCTTCATTCAAAACATTTTAAAACAAGAGACGTACGGAAGGTTGCCATGGCAATTTTGTAATTTCATATGTGAAATTATAAATTAACGCTGAATTTTCGCGCCTTATACTACTACATGAGAAATTACTGCAATCTGATTGGCTTAGAGCAGTGGTATTTCAGCTTAATTTGAAATACCTACATGTGAAAATTACAAACCTTTTGCGGGTAGTAGTATAAACAAATAATAGCATAATTTGTACGTGATATTTGGCATAAATACCACTCGTGATATTTCAAAATTGTCTCAAATTTCACTCGCCTAACGGCTCGTGAAATTACGTATAACAGTTTCGAAATATCACTCGTAGTATTTATGCCAAATATCACTACAAATCATGCTATTACCTATACAAAATTAAGGAGCAATTCGTCACCCATGGAGAAAGACTGTGCATGAGTCGAGTAAGATCTTTGACGAGCTTAATTGTCGAGCAGGCGCGGCATGTTGCTAGGATAATTATAGTTTCGAACCCAGGCCTAATAGCCGTGCGCTTGGTACAGCGAACTCAACCGAATGACCATCTGTTGATCAATTAACGGATACTCCCACTGGAATAAACCTGTTTGACGAGAGAAAACAAGATTGACCTCAAAGGCTTGACACGATTCTTTTCTCCTCCTTTTTCACACTGGAAAAACTAGACCTTTTATAGAGATAACAAAATGTCTATAATTTTTAAATTTGTAGACTTTTTGTAAAGGTGCCAATCTTTCCCTCTTTCTCAAGAAGACTAAGGAAGGCTCTGCTCGCACGGTGGTAAACAGTGGCGAATCAAGGGGAGGGGCCCGGGGGGGCCGCCCTCCTCCTTATGGTTAGACCAAACTGAGGCCCAAAGGGCCGAAAAAAAGTTTTTTTTTGACCGCCTCCCCCCCCCCCCCCCCCCCTCCCTTTTCTCAAGGTCTGGATCCGGCATTGGTAAACCTGTGCATCAATGTTAAACTCTGATCCTCATGTGAGTTATGATACGTAAGTCCCTTATTTGTACTTCACAAGAAAATAAGGGATTGAATTTTGCCCGAGCATTTTGGTGTAAGCATCATATATATAATTATATTAGAGCCATTTTCGTATGACCTTGGAATGAAAACGCGCGAACAAAACAGAAACAACAAACGAACGGAAATAGAGCGATTTGATTGGTTTATCGAACGGATACAAACGCGGGTGAAAAAACGGTTCATGCCCAAGAACTTTCAAGAAATCAACCGATACTTCGCTTTGACGTCATACTGGAACACGATTGGCTAATCGAACAATGCCTTCTCTATATTAGAATTTTCTTTTGCGGGAAACGAAGAGGCCATGTATTGATTTTTCCATCCATTGGCTGATAAAGCAAATACCGAACGCTTACTGAAACCATTTTTCAAGGTCATACGAAAATCGTTCTAACACTTTTAAGAGTTAAAACTCTCTTGTTGTCATTGACCCCCTTTCTCGGTAGCTATTTCATTCCACATTCACAACATCCTGATAACTATGTAAGCTTTTAATTGCTAGTTTTATTGGCACTATGTAAACTAAAATATTAACACCCTTTCTGGTTACCTTCATAGGAGTGTATATGGTTGAGAGAGGTATGACGTGTTTTATCATTACATTTGAGTAGCGTGTAAATTTTAACATGCCTGTGATCGCTTTTTGTGTTATTATTACCGGGGCCCAGCCGAAGGCTGGGACCGGTCTTAAAATGCAGACCGTCCGTTTTTTCAACGTTACATTGTTAGGGATATATCGCTGACTAAGATATATCGCTGGCTCATTGAAATCTTATCCGCCATTTTGAAAAGAAGAGGCATGGAGGACAGTCAAGAGAAAGATTATAGCTTTTTTGGGGAACGACACGTTCCCCCAACCCAACTAGTTTATGAGCGAAAATTTAAGAGTGAATATTTGGAGAGACAAATTTACGAGCGATCACTTCTGAGACTGAACCTTCCATCGTGAAACTTATCGAGAAATTGAGTGAACCTTCCATCGTGAAATTTATCGAGAATCAAAGCGAACACTTAACAAAATTTGTCTTCAAAAAGATTTCAATGATTGACATACCGAAGACTTCAAAGCTCCATCGCTATGTTAATAAGGTGAGAAAACTTTATCATGCACGATATAAATGTAATAACAAACGCGATCCAAAGATAATTAACTTAAATAAAATGGCTATACCCAAGAAAGCTTATTTGTTGTCTTTCTTTAGCAGGCATTATCACAGGATAATGAAACTAAAAATAATGTAAAGCACGTCGATCTTTATCATTGTTTTCTTGCAATTGTGTGAGTCATATGACCAATTATGTGAATTTCAAACTAAGTAAAGATGTTGAGAAGAATCCAGGACCTACTCAATACAACACTGATCATCATGAAGTAATAATTAGACCTTCTATGCAAAATCACAGCTCAACATTGGTTGAGGTCACACTAGAGACTTTACTATGGTAAAAAGGGCTTTACTATGGTAAGTCTCGCAACGTCTTCTTTACCGTAGTAAACCTGACAGGTCCACTTAAAAAGGCATTTGAAACTTTCCAGGCGTTTTTTCTCGCGTGATCGGTAACGTGAGAGTGAAAAGTAAAACAAATGATGACCTGCTATGAGAGCTGACTAAATTGAAATTACTGAACTGTAACTTCCTGAGCGTGACCCTCACAAGTGTACAAAGATGCTTCAATGTGAGAGAGTATTGTTTTCTGTTGTGAGCATTTTGCTTTTAATTCTGCTGCTCAGACGAGCAAGAAGAATGCGCTCCCTTATTACCTACCTTGGTTTCGAATACGAAGTTAGTGAAGATGTTTTAGTGACAGGTTTATTGATTACTCATCGAAGACGTATTCTTGGAGAAAGAGCGGCATTGCGAAGGCAAGCGTGGGTTTAACCTCGACCCCAGGAATGGTTTGAAGAAATGTACAGAAACAGAAACCTTCAAGCACTGTGGAAAAAGCAATCACCGATGTTCTAAAGCTATTCTGTTATGTGACCCTTTTTGAAACTACTTTCCTCAAAAATCATGACAAACTGTCAACAAAACAAACAAAGTTTAGATAGACTAAAGATATACCCACCTATTTTTTTTGGTAACCAGATGGTTATCGGTGATGGGTCATCTTTGTTCTTTCCGCGGTAGTCATGGAAATTAACCAGGGTAGAGTTTACCATTGTAAACTGAAAAATGCCCGTCACACTTACGGCGCCGTTTACTATGGTAAACTTGAGTTTTTCTCTAGTGTGACCTCAACCAATGCAGTTGAACTCTCCTATTTCCTCTGAGAATTTGATGCAGTCAAGATTAGGTGCACTTTGTTTACAATCAATAGATGTTGGCGGTGCAGGTGATTGTTTCTTTAGATCTGTATCACATCAATTATATGGCAAAAGCAACCATCACATGCATATACGTACTGCTGGGGTTCAATTTATGAGAGACAATCCTGAGAGATTTATTGAGAGCAATACCGAAAATTCATGGATAAGATATCTGAATAATATGTGTATTCAAGGTACATGGGCTGATGCACTTATCATTCAAGCAGTTGCAGATATACTACTGTTTACCCAGTTCAGGAAAGAAATACTTCCTCTACAATAATTACTATAGGCCATATTGATGAATGCCACTATGTATCAACCACTGCCTTACAATCAAGTGCCTCCATTTCAATGTGCAATGAATTAACAAATGATACTCAGTCATCAATAAATAAGCATTTTATTATGTCTGTATATAACACTGGATGACATTTTTTACAGTGCAAGACAACAATCCATGACCACAAAGATCTATTTCAAAAATGTCTTATGTCTGTTATCATTTCAAATTCACAGTGTTTTCGCAAAAAATAGATAAATGTGATTAATAAATCTCAATGATAAACCTGATGATAACGTACTTGAGAAAATGTGAAATTGTGATAATTCTGTAACAAACTTCTTTGCAAACTTTGTCATTACCATTCAACCCAAAACTGTCAGTGATTTTTGCTTTTTCACTCAAACTTAAAAACAAATGAAAACCTTATACAGATCACACTTATTGACATCACAGTGTTACTAAAAACACTACTATAACACAGACCGTTAGCTGTAATAACACTGAACAAACTTACAACAACATCCTCCTTTCTCATGCATTTTGTTGCTTTTCTTCTGCATGAGTTAATTCAGACTAAGTATTAGCCTCCGCAGAGGAGTGGGGAGGGGTGCGAGAGGTAAACTATATCTATGCAATCCCGTATCCCACTGGGCCCCGGTAAGTTCCACGTAGTGGTTCTAGTTGACTCTTTAATTTATTCTTCAACTCTTGATATTTTTACTTCACAGGAATGCGAGTGGTTGAAAAAGGTAAGGCATGTTTTATCGTCAATTTGTAAATTAAATCCCTGATTTTTAATCGCTCCCTTTTTTCAGTCTGAACTCTTTATATCTTTAACTCCACAGGAACCTCACAGGTTAAAAGAGGTATGGCCTGTTTGATTATTACTGCAGTAAGTAAGCGGTTAGAGCCGCGCGAACCTCTATATAATCACCAAAGCAAACACATCTAAAAAACGTGATTTACAGCTCGACCTCGTTCGTGCCAAGAGATTGGTTAAAATCTGTCACTGTGAAATTATATACAACTTTGCTTTTATTGACCACTGAATGATCGCCGAAAATCTTTTTTTCTCGGTAGACAATCAGGACTCTTAGAATGGTAATCGATCAGTTGGATTCTCAAAACGCTTGCATGATAGCGGATAATCAAACAAGTGACAGTGCCACGTTCAACTGCTCGTTCCAGGTTTGTATTCTGGTATTCAATAGCAGAGCCGAACAGTGGCACGATTGGATCCCCAAAGCGTGTTTGAAAAGAGCAGAGCGTATAGTGTGCGGTGTTTGTTGGACATTCGGTGTTTCCGTAAGGGAATGGAAAGCTAAGCTATGCTTATATAGTTTTCAAACTATGGTCGTAGCAAGATCCTAATTGTGTAAGATTACACTGATACATTTCCTGAAATTAGACATAGACGATTGAAATATTGTTACCATTTGCTTTTTACCTTGAGGAAAAAGTTCAACCGCATCCCAAGGCCCCTCCGCTGCTCCTTTGTGCGACGGGTGGGGATAGATTTGCTGTTACGTCCGAGGGTTGATTAAGCGACACGACCGCAAGTTCTTGTGGGTAGCCGTAAATTCTTTGTAATTAATTCGGTCAAAACGTCGTGGTTGTCAGAGCCATTGGATGGATCTAAAACTTTTATTTTATGACAGAAGAGTCGTTTCATTGCTGCATGAGTTTGCAGTGTTTTATTAAATTACCCATAATGCTATGCGGTTTCGCTTTGTAGGCTTTCCGACAACGATACCTTCATACGTTATTGACCATATGTGAGGTCAAGATGGCTGTATGTTTTCCGAGTCCGAACTTTCCATTACCTGAATTTTCTCTCGAAACAGGTTGATCCTGTTGAACGTTACAACATTAAAACGTTCTCGATTATCAAAAACATTTGGGATCATTTCTCTTAGCATCACTTGATATATGTTGCATAAGCCAGTCTCTAGTTCAAGCTAAATTTCTCTTGTGTTTGTGTGACAAGTAAAAAAGGGAGCTCGTGGTCCAACCTGGAAGTCCTGCGCGGGTTATATCTTTTAATGTCTTTTCTATTGTCCCCAGTCTGCTTCAGGCGAAAGAGGGGCTGATGATGTTGCTCATATTTCTGGGTCCAGCCAACATTCAGGTAAACAAACTAAGCGATAACAAGTGACCTTGTAATTGGTGTTTATATTAGTTCACCGCGGTAAAGAAGATATCAACACGTCTTTCTACATACCCCCTCCATCATAGCCTCCCCCGCAGACGTTCTTAGGTCTGAGTCACGCGTTCCTTCCCCACGAACGTTCGTGGGGAAGGAACGCGTGACGCACGCGGGGGAGGCTACCTCCATCACAGATAGTAACAAACCTTATTGCCTGATAGTTTTTTTGTCAGGGCTCGACACTAACACTTACCCGTTCACCACTGGAAAGTAATATTTCTGAGTGGAAAGTAAAAAAAGCAAATGAACCGAAAATACTTGCCCGATCGGGCAACTACTTCTAGACAACGCGGGAAAGTATTTTTTTAAACAGCCAAATAAAAAAGAAAAGAAAACGAATGTGTTTAGTTATTACAAGTGAGCTTCCTTGCTAAACGTCTAAGTTTCGCGTTTTTCTATCTCCACCATCTTGGAATCGTCAGTGACAGATCGAGAAACCCTGGGTACGAAATAGATGATGCAATCGACCGTGCTCGCCATTTTGCCTTTCACATGTGGACTAGTAAATAAAACATGGTGAGGTTAACAAAGGAAACTCCGAAAAGATTGATGAAGTTGACCAAGAAAGCAACAAAGGAGGAGAACAGACTGAAAATCAAACAGCTGGAGCATATTCGAAGCAAGCGATGCCACGATGGCTTAAGGAGTTTCTATGGCTGCAATACAAGGAAGAACAGAGTCTTAATTTTGTTATGTTTCTACTATGGATAGTGGAAAATATGATTCTTTCATTTTTGGAAAGTAAAATTTTACTATGGAAAGTAAATTTTCATATCTACTTTCCA